ACTCTTGCATCCCTCGCTTCTCAGCGTGCTTATCATGCTTTCTGCCTCGTCGTCAGGGTATCCTGGAGTCGGTGCGTTCTGGGTGCCTTGCATCTTCAGTTCTCGAGTGGCCTTCGGTCCATCCCGCCACAGCGCCTGGGTTGTGGGTCATAATGATTTGGCTTCTTGGATGTTAGTTGGGATGTCGTGGGAGGTCTCTCGGGGGCAGGTTGGAGGCAGTTTTGATGCATCTTAGGGGTTGTTTGGGAGTTTCTTTGGGGCGTTGGGGCCTCTTGGGGGCCTCCTTGGGCCTCATGCGGGCCTCTCGGGGCCTCGTTGGGGCATCTTGAGGCAGAAAGCACGAATTGTCTGTTCGGGCTTTCCTTCTCAGGCCCAACTTGGGGCCATCTCGGGGCTCGGGCCGTCTGTGAGGCGTGTCTTGGACCGTCCTGAGGCCTTCTTTGGCCGTCTTGGGGCCCTCTTGGGGGTTTGGTGAGGCCAGGCCATCTTGGGGCGATCCTGGGGCGCTCTTGGGCCGTGTTGAACGCCGTGAGGCTGAAACCTTTTGTATATTCCAAAAACGTACGCTATCCTCTAGGAATCAAGCGATATTTGCCTCTTTGGGCCCTCTTGTGAGGCCTCTCTTGAGGCGTCTCGGGCGCCTCTTCAGCCGTCTTCAGGCCATCTCGGGCGTCCTGGGCCGATCGTTCGGCGATTCGGGACCCTCTTGGACCGTCGTTTGGGCCTCTTGGGCCCCTGTTGGCCCGTTTGGGGGGCCCCCTGGGGGCGAAACGCTCGTGCGGGACGACGGCCTGGTGGTCTGGAGGCTTGCGAAGAGCCCCGGGAGGTTTAATCATGTGGCGTCCCGGCACCCTGAAAAATCTCAGGAATGAGGACTGAGGCTTAAGGGGTTAGTCGGTTAGTCCAAGGACCTGGGGACTCTCCAACTCGTGCCTCAGGGCACGGTGGCGGATACTCCATCCCCATGGCTGCTTTTGACTGAAGCGTGTTTTAGGGTGCTCCGGGGTTTGGTTGGGGCGCTCTGGATGGTGCTGGGGGTCCTAGGGGGGAGGGGAAGGGGGAGGAGGAGGGGCAGGAGGAGGGGGGAGAGGAGGAATGTCTCAGTAGGCAGATGATCTGGAGGAGGAGGATGAGAAGGAGGAGGAGTGATTGAGTGGGCCCACAACTACACCGACGGGGGGCATGCACACCCTCTGAAGCCAAGATCTTGAGACAGTGGTTCGAAGAGGAGGAGGAAGAGGAGGAGGAGGAGGAGGAGGAGGAGGAAGAGGAGACAGAGGAGGAGGAGGAGGAGAAGAACGCCCTCAGCGCCCCAGAAACCAGGACACTGCAAGCCAGGGCGGGAGAGGACAGAGCACTCGATAATGATGCACCCTCCGGCTGCAGTGCTCTCCATGTTGCCCCGGCCTCACGGTTTGTCAGCGTACCAGCTGTTTTTTGGGGGAGAGTTGAGAAGGAGGGACCAGGAAGGATGATGTACAGTTTCTGGCCCGCTTCTGGATTTGGTCTTGTCCTCCAGGGACGCCCAGAGATGTCTCGAGGCCTCTGGGGACCTCCAAGGAGCTCCAGAGATCCAGACCCTCGGTGTCTCGTTTGCGCCGTCGGCTGCCCCTCGTCATCCTCACCACTCCTCTCCCGTCCACCACACCAACTGAGAGTGTTTTTTTCTCGTCTGGCGCGTGACGGTCGTTGCCGGCCCCCCGCCCCCCCCCCCAAGGCAACCGTGAAGAGCGTATTTGTGTGTGTGTGTGCGTGGGGGGCTGGATCCCCCCCTTACATGCTGGCGCTCGCTCGCATATGATGGCTACAGTCGGGGCGCTGAAGAAGGAACCCTTTGCGTTGGGGAGGGGCTCCGTGTTACCTATTTGTTTCACAGTTTGCCTTCCGTTTTCCTTAGGTATTCGATAGGGAATCGAAGCTTAACTTGGGGAACAAAGGCGTCTCGTTCTTTATTTAGGGCTCCTTAGGTCAACACCATGACTGTACTTGCTGGTGCTCGCGCTCCTAGTATGGCTATCCCAGCGCACCCCCGCCTCGAGCTGCCCCCCCCCCACCCGAGCGCTACCATTATCAGACATGCCGATATGCAAGCAGAGACATCTTTGAAAGCGCATTGACCCGAAACAGTAACTCGTGGCACTGTGGATGTGTCTGAGCTCTGTGATCTTCAAGCGTTTCTGCGGTGGTTTCTCGAAGAAGAACATTAGCAGTCGGGGTTTTGAATAAGGAACCCTTTTCGTTGGGGAGGGGCTCCGTGCTCCCTAGGTGTTGTAGTGTTTGCTTTAGGTTTACCGTCGGTTCGCGATCGGACACTGGAGTTGAACTTAAGGAGAGGGGGGCCTCGTTCCGTCTGTCATCGTTCCTTCGGTCAGCGCCCCGACTGCACGCATCCTCGGGGCACCCACCGTCGGTTCGCGATCGGACATCGGAGTTGAACTTACGGAAAGGGGCCTCGTTCCGTCTGTCATCGTTCCTTCGGTCAACGCCCCCGACTGCACGCAGCCTCGGGGCACCCACACAGGGGCGGCAACGGCTGGCAACGGGCGGCGACGGGTCGGGGCACGTGGCGAGCCCTCCCTCGGGGCACCCCCCCGGAGGGCGGCCATGGGCCAGAGCCTGGCGAGTCCTCCTTGGAGGCCCCCAGACAGGCGGCAGTGGGCGGCAACTGGCCGGAACGTGGCGAGTCTTCTCTTGGCCTATTTAGAATCAGATTCTCGAGATTTGGCCATTCGTTAGAGTTCTAATTTTCTTCCCCCCATCTTCTATCTTGATTTTACTGATCGACCTGAGATCTCTAATTTTCTTCCCCCCCATCTTCTATCTTGTTCCCGCTCGCCATCCTGATCTCAGGTCGATCGGGTGGATATTACCATCAAAGAGCACATGGCTTCGGGATCCCCCCACAGGCGGCAGCAGTTGGCAATTGGCGGGAACGCGCCAGAGCGTTGCGGATTCTCGGGAAGCTCCCCCACAGGCGGCAACCGGGCAAAACGTTGCGAGTCCGCGGGGCACCCATCCAAGTTCTCGGAGACGCAAGCGGGAAGCACTCGAAGGCAGCGCTGTTTGGGGGAAATGTCTTTCCGACCTTGCACACAAGAGGGTGCCCTTACTACGCCCTCTCAATCCATGCCTTGATGCACCGCGTGCCATATGGCTTGCTCGTGCCATCTTGGCCTCCGTTCGCGGCTGCAGCTAAGCCGTCATGAACCTTTCCACGATTAGGACCTGCCAGTGCACCCGGAGGGCCCCCTTGGAAAGGGCAGCGCGCACCCCTCTCGTCGCCCTGCATGTGCCTTCGCTTGCGATGGGCCCCGTTCGCGACGGCCCGAGGACTGCCTGGACTGGAAGCTCAGGGGCTGCGGCCAGATCACCGGCAGGTCCGCCTGCCTGATGAGCCGCCAGGCCGGGGACACCGCCAGCGGCGTCCCCTGCATGTGGTGCGGGGGGCAGCGGTGCGCGAAGGATCGGCGGCGAGCCCCGGGGGGGAAGCGAGAGTGGCCGGGCCTCTTCCGAAGGCGCCGGGGCTCGGAGGCCCCTCGGGCCTTCTGTTCTGGAGCCGCCCGGGGCTCTGGAGGAGGCGGGCAAGGCGCGCGAGGGCTTCTCGGAGGCCCCGCCGCCTTCTGAGGAGGCCTGCCCCTGGGCTCGCCGCCGACGAGGAGGGAGGCGACGCCGTGCTGTGCACCCCCTTCGGCGGCACCGTGGACGGCGCGAACGCCTCCAGGCCTGCAGGAGGGCCCCCGATGCAGCGCCGTGCGTGCCCCGACAGTGGCCGTCCTGGGCCCGGGGGCGGTGTGCCCCATGGACCCTCGCTGGCCTCGGAGAGGAGGCTGCACCCCAGACGTGCTCTCGGGGAGCCTTGTGTCGGGCGTGTCCCCCTACAGGGGGATTTTCGACGATAAATGAAAAATACCCCAAACATACCCCAAGAAGGTCCAAAAAGACTCGAAAGAATTAGTCCCCAGACTACGTTTGGACTATTTATTTTATTTTTTGTTGGTGTATTGTTTATTTTTCGTCGCAAATCCCCCTGTAGGGGGACAGGCCCGACTTAACCCCAGACGTGTTCTCGGGGAGCCAGAACTGGCATGAAGTTAGCATGAAGTCGGGCGTGTCCCTCTACAGGAGGAATAACCCTGCGCGGGCGATATTAATCCCCCGGGGATAAAAAAAAGTTCGGGGTTCTGGCGGGGACTATGAAAGATTTCCCAGTGATGAGGATAATGCTGATGATGATGATGATGATGATGATGATGATGATGATGATGATGATGACGATGACGATGACGATGACGATGACGATGACGATGATGATGATCATGATGATGATAATGATGATGATGATGATGCTGATGATGATGATAATGATGATGATGATGATATTGATGATGATGATGATGATGATGATGATGATGATGATGAGTGGTGATGATGATGATATTGATGATGATGATGAGTGATGATGATGATGATGATGATGATGATGATGATGATGCTTGTGGTGATGATGATGATGATGATGATGATGATGATGATGATGATGATGATGATGATGATGATGATGATGGTGATCCTGGGCGCTCGGCACAAGGCTGACTCGAGAGTTTTCGAGGCCCGTGGCAATACAACTTGCCAGCAGGCGCTCAACACAAGACTGACTCGAGAGATCTCGAGGCTCGTGGCTATACAACTTGCCAGCAGGCGCTCGGCACAAGAGAGGAAGAAGAAGGGTGGGAGAAGGAAGAGAGAAGAGGATGGCCCCAGGATCGATGTTCCAACAATTTTTGAATTCTGGACCTGAGGTTTTTTATGTGTCAAAATTGATTATTTTTAATCGTCTTCATCATCGCATGGAGGGGTGCCTATGGTGGGACCCAAGGAGAGATAAACCAAACATTGGGGATAAAACAGTTCGGACCCTGTGGGGGGGAGGGGGAGGAGGAGAACGAGAAGGAAGAGAAGGAAGAGACAAGGAAGAGGAAGAGGAGGAAGAAAACAAGGAA